AGGGAGGAACTGAAGGAAATCCTTATTAGTTAGGAAATAGTATTGGGGAAATTGATGGGATTAAAACCCGATGAGAACCCCGGCCTGATGTTCTTCATCGCAGAGTAATATGAAAGTGGCCCTGGAATTACTGGATGCATTGGTGATCATTTTCCAGCATTCTATAGACTCTGGAAGAGTTCCAATGGACTGGACAGTCGCTAATGCAACCCACTTTTCTAAAACAAAAAGGGAGAGAGAAAACGGGAAATTATAGGCTGATGAGCCTGAAACCAGCAGTGGGGAAAATGTTGGAGTCAATTTTTAAGGATGTAATAACTGAGCATTTGGAAAGCAGTGACACAATCGGTCCGAGTCAGCATAGATTCAATAAAGGAAAATTGTGCTTGACCAATCTTCTGGAATATTTTGAGAATGTTACCTGTAGAGTGGACAAGGGTGAATCAGTGGATGATGTGTATCTGGACTTTCAAAAGGCTTTTGACAAGGTCCCACATAAGAGATTGAAGCTCATGGTATCGGAGTTAATATGTTGATGTAGACAGTGAACTGGTTGGCTGACAGGAAGCAGAGAGTTGGAATAAATGGGTCTTTTTCGGGGTAGTAAGCCCTGACAAGTGGGATACCGTAGGGTTCAGTGCTGGGACCCCAGCTGTTCACAATCCATATTAACAATTTGGATGAAGGAATTGAATATAATATCACTGGATTTGCAGATAATACTCAGCTGGGTGCAGTGTGTGCTTGTAAGGAGGATGCTGAGAGGCTGCGGGGTGACTTGGGCAGACTGGCTGAATGGGCAACGCTTGGTAAATGTAATATAATATAGATAAGTGAGGGGTTATCCACTGCGGTGACAAACACAGGAAGGCAAAATTATTACATGAGTGGTGGCAGTTTCGGAAAAGGTGAGTTGCAACAAGACCATTCAGGGCTGAGATGACGAAAAACTTCTTCACTCAGTTGCAAATCTGTGGAATTTTCTACCACAGAAAGGTGTTGGGGCCAACTTGCTATATATATTCAAGAGGAAGGTAGATGTGGCCCTTGTGGCCGGGGATCAAGGGGTACGAAGAGAAAGCGGGAGTGGGATACTTAAATTACATAATCAGCCATGATCATAATGAATGTTGGTGCAGGCTCAAAGGGCCAAATGGCCTACTCTTGCACCTATTTCCTATGTTTCTATTACATTTTTCACAAACTTGAAATTATCACTGGAAGGTAAATATGGAATGTAAATAATATTGCAACCTGATACCAATACCTTGATCACAAATTTGCACCAATTAATGTACATTATAATGCAATTACTTCCACAACTTTCACTTTATTGATCCTGCAGATCAAGTCAATCCTTTTTAACTCGACCTTTGAAGTTATCCATAACGTCGAAAACACCAAAGTAGTGCCCAAGTAGAATTCCAAGTTTCAGAGGAAGCAAACTATTTCAGAGAGAAAAAAAATAAGATTGATGATGATGATATCATTTTCTTATGGCAGCATTTAATAAGAGAAAGTTAAGGAAGGGTCCATGATTAGCTTGTCACACATTTTACCAAAGCAAGAATTAAAGCAGTACATAAAATGATTAACTAAGATAGTTTTAGCACAAATCAGTCTTGTTTCCATGGAGCCAGTCTTTAATCTTGATTTTAGTCTGCTAAACATAGAACCAAATGTCTTTAGGCCCTAACTTCACTACCAGCTCAGGCTAGAGACCTCACTCCTAAGAAAGATTTTAGATAACATCAATGTCAATCTATCTCTTGACTGTAAAAACTGCTGCAAACTAAGGTCTCGAAGAGATCTCAACTACCCAATGTCATAACCGAGGTTAACACTCAGATGCAGTATTCAAGAAACGTTGTACTCTGAGGTGCTGCCCTTCAGCTGAATTATTGCAACTTGTCTGCCCATTGAACCGGATAAGTTCCACTTCACTCCTCAAAGTAAACAATGATCTTCAGTTGAGAAAAATCAGAGTTAACGTTTCAGGTCCAGTAACACTTCCTCAGAACAGGTCCCAAAATGTTAGCTCTAACTTTTCTTCACAGATACTGCCAGACCTGCTTTTTCAGCAACTTGGTTTTGATCCTGATTTACAGCATCTGCAGTTCTTTCGGTCTTTCATGATCTTCAGTTATCTTGATTAGACAGGCTGACTAGTAATTTATGGAATCTGTGAAAAATTGCCAATATGTCTCTAACAATCAAAGTTTCAGTAGTTTGTCAACTATGTCCACTTGTTTATGAGATAGTGCAACATTATTAAACTTTTTTTATTCTTAACTGCAGTCAAACACTGGTTGTTGATTCTTGGCAATTATGCATTCACCCAAGGTCAGTTTTTACAACTGCTTTGTACAGAAATATGTTTATTTACTCCAAAGTCAACTCTTAAACTGTACTTTTAAAACAGGAGCTTTGTTATTTTTTTGGAAAAATTATATGGTCTTTTAGTATGTTTAGATAAATGTCTTCAAGTGGGTTCTATACAATCTTGTCCCAGCATTAGACCCTCCTCCTGCTTCCATGACTGTACTCTTGTGAATCTGACTACACAACGTACCTTCCTAGCTAAATTATTCCTTTCTGTAAATGTACCATTGTCTTTGAACAGCAGCATTGGCACTCCCTTGAAACTACCCTCTATGCCTCAGACCTGCAGATAACCTCAATAAGAGCAGGATGTAGGAGCAGGAGGAAACTCCCTTGAGCCTTATTTGCCATTCAGGGCAATCAGGGCTCTTTTAAAATAAATCATCCATGGGATGTGGGTATTGATGGCTGGGCCAGCATTTATTGCCCCTAAGATGATCTAAGCTCGGCCTCAACTTAGATTGCCTTCCTGTAAAAGCTCCATCCCATTCTCTCAGTTCCTCAGTCTCTGTCGCATATGTTCAGATGAGGCCAACTTTGACAAGGGAGTCTCCGAAATGTCCACCTTCTTCCTCAACTGAGGATTCCCCAGCTCTGTTGTCGACAGGGCCCTCACCCCTTCTCTTCCCTCCCGCAACAGAGATAGGGTTCCCCTTATCCTCACCTACCATCCCACCAGCAACCACATCCAGAAGATCAGACACCATTTCCGCCACCTCCAGCAAGATGCCACCACCAGACACATATTCCCCTCCCCTCCTTTGTCCACCTTCCGCAGGGACCGTTACCTCCGGGACAACCTGGTCCACATTTCCTTCACCCCCAACACCTCCCCACAGCCCTACGGCACCTTCCCCTGTAACTGGCGAACACTTCACCTGCACTTTCCAGAATCTAGTCTACTGTATTCGCTGCTTACAATGTGGTCTCCTCTACATTGGGGAAATGAAGTGTAGACTTGGCGACCGCTTCGCATTGCATTTACGATCTGCTTGCAAAAAAGACCCTGAACTACCTGTTGCCTGCTTCAATGCACCACCCTGCTTCCTGGCCATCATCTCTGTCTCTGGCTTGCTGTGGTGCTCCAGCGAAGCCCAATGGAAGCTGGAGGAACACCACCTCATTTTCCGCTTGGGGACCCTGCAGCCCTCCGGGCTCAATATTGATTCCAATAATTTTAGGGCCTAAAACTCTCCCATGTCCCAGCCCCCTACCCCACACACCAGGCCTTATTATCACACAGCCTGCCATAACACAAGCCCTGTTGTTAGTCACCCACAGTCCCCATTAACAACTGTTCACCCTCCCAGCCTGATCGTTAGCAACTCCTGTCTGTCCAATTGTTCTTCTCTGTCTTTGGGCTCTATCCTATCGTTTACTCCCTGCCCCACCCACCTCCCTATTTTCTGCATGTAAACTGATGTTTTCCCAGCCACCATCAGTTCTGAGGAAGGGACACCAGACCCGAAACGTTAACTCTGTTTCCTCCTTCACAGATACTGCCATACCTGCTGAGCTTTACCAGCAACTTTGTTTTTGAACAAGGAACTTTTCCTGGAAAGGTTCAATAAGGAGATACTAGCAATGGTGAGCAGGGCAAATTTTATAGAGCATCCTAAAAGACAGAAGTCATGGATAGAGGGGTTTAGGGAGGCAATTTCAGAGTTTAGAATCTAAGAAGCCAAATGCATAGTTGTCAACAATGGATGGATTGAAACCAGGGGTGTCCAAGTCGCAAGATGTGGAGGAGCGCTGGGGTTGCAGGGCTAGTAGAAGTTACAGAAATAAGGGAGGAATAAGGCCATAGGGAGTTCCGAAAATAAGGATAAGAATTTTCAACTGTGCATTCGAATTGTGAGCCAAATAGGGGTTAGCTAGCACTAGGCTGATAGGTGAATGGGACTTGATGTGAGTTATCCCAAAAAAATTATGTCAATTAATTATTGACTAGCCAGCAACAGCAGTATTGG